ATGCCAAGGTGTAATACTTTAGGGTAGGGTGTCCTGAACCCCATCATTAGTTAAGAAGATATCAATCATATGCAACCTACGTATTGGTTTTCATATAGCAATTAATTCATATCTTTTGGGCCATACTTAATATCAACATTTCCCAAACTGTTCCATTGAATATTAATAGGTGATATACCAAAAGACTTTCTGTATGACTTAACAAGTCTGGGAAACTTTACACTCAACAAATGGAATGCAGTGTCTTAACTAAAGGGCTTCCTTGAGCCCTTAATAGGTAAATGAACATTGTAAGTGTTCCAGAGGGGGGCCAGGCATGAATATGAAACCCTATTTCTTTCCCCAATACTCTTGAGAATCGTGTTCTACAGAGCACACTTGGGAAGCATTGCTTTAAAAACATTAATTTCCCTAAAAGAAAGAGCATTGCCATAGAGAGCTCTCTAGTGGCAGTAGGGCAGAGATGGAGGGCTGATGGAGAAGCAGCAATTAATAAGTTGCCTGTTACATAGTCAGAAATAACATTGGAAGGAGCCTGACATTTTACCAAATGAAAATTAATATTAATTAAACAAAAACAGGGAAAAACCTGTGAAGCTTTGAGACAGTTTGTGATTCCTCTCAGCTAGCTGATGTGCTTATTTTTCACTAGGGCCCCTAATGACCCCCTTCCTTGGTGAATTGGATTTTGCTAGCTTGCTTTATTATGTTATTTCAAAGAGCTCTAAATTTAACACAGGCCCCTCTTGAAGGTGCGAGTTTGGAAAGCCTGCATTTATAGGCTGTGTTCCAGCTGGTTTCTCCATCTCTGTTAAATTAGAACAAGAACTTCTTCAATGTGGCCATTTTAATTCTGGGGAATCTTCTCATTTACGTAGTATTTTGGTAAATGTGATGTTTTCTGATAAATTTCTAGGGAATGGAGCTATTTGTGGAAATAAGAATTGAGACTTTAGTTGTTCTTGGCTCTCTTACTACCCTCTCCAGAACCGCAGAAAATAGCTTTTGTCAGTTCCCATTGCTTCAGGTTGAGGATAGACATGTTCATAATAAATGCAAAACTGATCATTTAAACACTTGTTCCCTAAGGATATGAACAAGGTGTTCATTACAAAATTTAGCTCTTATTTTTTGCTTTATTTTGGTAAAGTAGTTGAACTTTTATTTCAAGGGAAAATTAACAGTAGATAACTTGATTGTGAAGATATTACTATTTGCAAATCTTTGTGGAATTTATTTGCGGCCAAATTAAATCACTACATATAACTCAAAAGAACTTTCTTTCTTTGTTATTTTATTTCATTTTGCTTATTTTATTTATGTATTTCATTATTCATTTTATTTACTTATTTATTGTTTTGGACCATGGCACCAGTGATGGTGATTACTTAGTTTGATTGTTAAAATGAGTCAGATGATGATGCATAAGCCTACCCCTGGTATAACAGTTAAAGTGATGTGATAAAACCAGTCAAACTGATGTAATAACACTTAGTCTGAACCCCAGATATACCTTTACCTCAAAAATGATTCTCTCTGGGGCACCTGGGTGGCTCAGTCAGGTATCCAACTTCAGTTCAGCTCATGATCTCTAAGTTTGTGAGTTTGAGCCCCTCATCAGGCTCTGTGCTGACAGTTCAGAGCCTGGAGCCCGCTTCAGATTCTATGTCTCCCTCTCTTTCTGTCCCCTCCCACACATACTCTCTCTCTCTCTCTCTCAAAATTAAATAAACATTTTTTAAAAATTTAAAAATGTCTCTCTCTGGAACATAAAATTCCCTTTATCCTTGATATCTTATAGTGATCACTCAAATATTTTGGATAATTGAAGAATGATGGATCAAAGTTCTAGATTATAAAGACATGATGTAAGGGGTGCCTGGGTGGCTCAGTTGATTGAGAGTCCGACTTCGGGTAGGTCATGATCTCACAGTCTGTAAGTTTGAGCCCCCTGTCGGCCTCTGTGCTCACAGTTCAGAGCCTGGAGCCTGCTTTGGATTCTGTGTGTGTGTGTCTCTCTCTGCCCCTCCTCCTGCTGGTACTCTGTCTCTCTCTGTCTCAAAAATAAATAAATGTTAAGCAAATTATTTTAATAAATAAAGATATGATGTAAGAGAGGGTCCAGGATGAAGCCATCATCCTCCCTGGTGCTAGAAGCTGTAAACGGTAAGCTCCCAAATCTCAGTACCTTAACACTATCGAGGTTTGTTTTGTTGTTTATAAAATGCTCCTTATGGCAGACTGTTCTTCAAGTCATGATTCACATCCTAGAATCCTTCCACTTTGTAGGCCCATCATCTTAAAATAATTCCTTCTAGTTTACCCTACTAGGCTGCAGCAAGCCAACAGGGAAAGAGCGTGGAGGCTCACCAGTGGAAGGTTTTCATAAATATACACTTTAGCTCTTACTCCGCTGGTGAGAAGTCAGTCATATAACCACATCTTACCTCTGGGACATGGAGTCCAACCACACGCCTAAAAAAGGCAACGAGTTTTTTGAATATGCAACTATCTCTGTTACAACTGTCTCCAGATAGTTGCCTTTTTATACTTATGATGTTGAAATTAACTTGAGTGACGGAATAGAGTTGGTTATCTCCAAAGGAAACAAAATGGCATATGCACATTAATTATGCATTTAAATTCCAGACTAATAATTAATGTGTCCACATTTTAAGTAATTTCCTTAATAACTTCACTTCAAATTAGTTCAAAGATATTTTGGGCATTCCTGGAAGGGAAATTTTATTGAGCCAAAGATCTGTTCATCATTTACAAAACAAATAATCTGTTCTTATTTATATCTCCTTACAATGTGTGACTGAGTAAGCATCACACATAGCTAGGAAATAGATTTTGACAGCATAGCCTTGTTAGTTATCATTTCAACAGGTACCATTAGCACAAAGATCAAGCTGCCTGCCATAGCTGTAGCATGCTAATGGGAAGTAAATACCATCCACGCATCTCAGCCTCCCTTTGAAATAGAAAATGACATCATGTAATTGGTTTTGTCTGAACTGCTCAGTGGGTGAAAATGTGATTCAGATGAGTTAAAGGCATGATGTCATTATTCTCCAAGAAGAGGCTGGACACTCAGCAGCCTGATTCTTTGAGCCAGCAGCAGTACATAAACCTGGTGTAGAACTTTAATCTCATTTGCACAATGTCGTGACTTTCTTCTCAAATGGAAACATGGCGGGTTATTTTTAAAAACAAGTAATGATCTTGTGCTCCAGAGCACCACTGATGCCTCTAGGAGAACTTGTGAATTAAAGGTTCTGCTGTGGTCTTGATTCCCATCGGTCTCTCCGGGACTGCACTATAGATGAGGCAGGGCTATCATTACTGCCTTCACTCATTCTCAATCCCAAGGGCCGAAGAGGTGGTCTTTAGTTGACCACTTAGAGATGGTCTTTTAGTTATTTATTTTTTAAATGCTGAGTACCTGCTGTGTGCCCGGTGGTGACTTAGGTGCTGGAGTTATAGCCATGAATGAAATAAAATTCCTCTTCTCATAGATAATAAGCAAATAAAGATATAATCTAATGCCAGGTAGAGTTAAATGCCATGTAGAAAGGCAAAGCTGGGTGGAGTGCTAGAGAAGGATGGGGTAGTGGCATGTCATGGAAAAGGTGGTCTGAGAATGTGACATTTAAGCAGAGACCTTAGGAAATGAGAGAGAAGATCGTGTGGAAATTTGCAGGAAGAAGATTACAATTGGTGGGAACAGCAAGGGCAAAGGCCCTTGGTGAGGAGCATGCTTGACAAATTTATAGATCAGCAAAAGTGACGGAGAGGGAGAGTGTAGGGAATATGGGCAGGGCATGGTGGGGGTGGAAGGAACCATACTTGCACAGCACTGCTGTTGACCATCTTATGGGACTGCCCATAGAACCATCAAGCCTCCCTATTCGAAGCTTCTCTTTCATGTGGAGCACCAGACAAATGATGCTTCATAGTCACTGGGCTCTGCATTTGGGCTGGGGACTGAAACTTGCCATTTCTGGGCCTTTGGCGATCAATGAAGGTTGGGAGGTCCCAGGTTCAGGCAACGAGGAGGTGGCTTGTCCAGAAAAAACTTGAAACACCATCTATAAGTGTGACCAGGGGCACCTGGGTGGCTCAGTCAGTTGGGTGTCGGACTTCGGCTCAGGTCATGATCTCACAGTTCGTGAGTTTGAGCCCTGCATCGGGCTTTTTGCTGACAGCTCAGAGCCTGGAGCCTACTTCGGATTCTGTGTCTCCATCTCTCTCTGCTCCCCTGCTTGTACTCTGTCTTGCAAAAATAATAAATAAACATTAAAAATTAAAAAAAAATAAGTATGGCCAAAATTGCTCTACTTTTTATTATCAAAATTGCTCTACTTTTTATCATATACGATAATATTATTATAATAATACTTAAATAATTCCAGTGATAAAATACTATTCTCCCCAGGGCCAGACCACCTTCATCTCCCCTTGGTACACCACTGCTTTGGTGCACACACGTAGTGAGTAAAACAAATGCCTATAGATATCTAGTAACTATATATAGTTAATTAAAAAGACTATATATATATAGTCTATATAGAAGATTATATATATATATATATATGCACATATATATATCACTCTACAGTATATACAGAAGAGTATACGTATGATACACATATATACACACATATACATACATTATATATTCTTCAGTATATTTAACAAGGATAAATCATTAAGTATATGCATTTTATTTTATTTTATTTTTAATTTTTTTTCAACGTTTTTTATTTATTTTTGGGACAGAGAGAGACAGAGCATGAACGGGGGGTGGGGCAGAGAGAGAGGGAGACACAGAATCGGAAACAGGCTCCAGGCTCCGAGCCATCAGCCCGGAGCCCGATGCGGGGCTCGAACTCACGGACCGCGAGATCGTGACCTGGCTGAAGTCGGACGCCCAACCGACTGCGCCACCCAGGCACCCCAAGTATATGCATTTTAAATGGGATGATATACTTGGAATCAAAAGATCCTACATGGAAAATGTTAAATCATTAAGACAGAGGCACAAATATTTATGCAGTAGCTATAATGTGCCAAATAGGGCTTTTTCCATGCATTTTGTTCATTTGTTCAAAAACCATGTTGTGGGACTTACCTGTGCTAGTGAAGATATAAAGAAGAGCAAGAGAGATGTACTTGCAACAAACCACACAGTGTGGTATGACTGTTCCAGTCTTACAAGCAAGAAAGCTGAGTCATGGAGGAGCTCAACTGAGTTCAATCCACACAGCTGGGAGTAAAGATCTGGAACAGAAATGCAGCTTCTTCTCAATCTTGTCTCTTGTTTGCAAAAACAAAAACAAAGTCCAGATACTTTCACAGTTTCTAATTTTTTGAGAATACTGGCATACATAAAGTATTTCCATCCATATGGAATGACATAGGTAGGTGTACAGCATCTAAGAAAATATAATTAACATCTTATTCAACAGCAAAGTTTGCTTGCAGTATATACAAAATTAAGAGGATAATTGAATGTAAGGTAGAATCTGGTAACACAAAATTAAGTAGCACTGGGATGACTGGTAGAGTATATATGATTTTTTTCTTTAAGAATAAGTCTCCCACCTGTGGTACACTATGTGAATAATTCCATGACTTAGCATCATGCATATGGCTACTTCTCCATACTTCTCAAGGGACAATGTCATTTATCACGGCTTCTCAAATGTTAAGATGCATACGAATCTCTTGGGGGTCTTAATAAACTACAGGTTCTGATTCAAAGGTCTGAGGTGGGGCCTAAGATTCTGCATTTCTAACAAGCTCCCAGGGCATACATATGGTGCTGGTCTGTGGGCACACTTTGACTTTAAGGCAGTTACAGTCATTTCTGGCACCGGTCAAAAGCTGTATCTTGGGCCTCATCCCTATTATTGGTTACTTTTGTAAGAGTGTTTGCTGAGCAGACATTCCTAGTGGAGCAGCTTATAGGAATTAAGGAAGGTATAAAGTCATGGTAGAAGGGACAAAAGGGAAGAAATAAACATGGTATAATGAATTCTGCACCTCTTTCCTAAAGAAACCACAAGCAAATCATTTACTCCTTGTTTAGAAGGGTCAACCTGATTCAGGTCTTCAACCTGAAGACCCAGGCCCTCATACAGCAAAGCCATTGACCACCTTGAAAAATTACTATTTTGCTCTTTGGTGTAACCTCAGTTTTATCTTGCTGAAACAAAACAAAAAGAATCCAATAGTGCATTCCTTTGTATTATTTATTCTGGCTGGATACTAATGTTAATTTTCTTAAATGCTTTGGCCACTATATTAAAATTGTCCATTTCATCAAATGGCTTAGTGTGAATCTTTTGAAGATGTACAAGAGAATTTCTTCATTAGAGCATTGCTTCTGAAGTTTTAATGAGCACACAAATCACCTTAGAATCTTATTAAAAATATAAATTTTGATTCAGTGGAACTGGGGTGTGGACTGAAAATTGGCATTTCTTAAAAGCTCCTAGGTAAGTCTGATATAACAGATCCTTGGGGGACTCTGAGTACAGAGGCCTTGGACCATTTGATCCTACTTTGCATTAAGAAGGTATTCTGTGGGGCGCCTGGGTGGCGCAGTCGGTTGAGCGTCCGATGTCAGCCAGGTCACGATCTCGCGGTCCGTGAGTTCGAGCCCCGCGTCAGGCTCTGGGCTGATGGCTCAGAGCCTGGAGCCTGTTTCCGATTCTGTGTCTCCCTCTCTCTCTGACCCTCCCCCGTTCATGCTCTGTCTCTCTCTGTCCCAAAAAATAAATAAACGTTGAAAAAAAAAAGAAGGTATTCTGTGTGTGAGTGTGTGTGTGTGTGTGTGTGTGTGTGTGTGTGTGATATTCAAGTAGTGAGGAAATTATATATTAACAAATAGCTGAAATGACGAAAACCAGGCATCTGCCTCAACACATAGGCTAGTGATCAAAGATTCCACAATCACATTTCCTTACCATGAAGGACTTCTCAACACTAGATGTATAAAAAAGGATTTTTGTCAGTAAGATGATGATCCCTTTCAGTTTTTCTGAAATCAGGCTGTATTCTAGATCACTCAGCAGATTGTAAGAGCAGAAAGGGTCAGGGCCCACCCAAGACCAACTAAATCCCAGCCTCTGGACATGGATCTAATGAGCAATCTCTAGACCACCAGCATCAGCAGCACCTGCTGGTCTAGAGATTAGATGTCTAAACTTATTAGACATCTCATGTCCCATCCAGATCTACTGAATCTAAGTCTACAGTTTATAAAGATCCCCAAGCATTCCAATGCACATTCAAATTTCAAAAGACACTGTTAAGTAGGAGGCAAACCTAGATAGTTGCCATAGCAACTTAATTGTATTAAACACCTCTCTTCCACTCTAGTAGTTTGGGCCTTTGACTGGTATTAGAACCAAAAGAAGACAGATATATCAAGCCCATGCAAAGCCTGGTATGTTGACTGGCTCTAATGTATCTGGGAAGGTGTAAAATAACAGGGAGAAGACACAGGAAAAAAATCCAGTTCTAGGTCCCTAGTGCTTCATACCAGCAGTTTCTTTGGTTCCTCTTTATTATGCCTCACCTTTTTTCCAGAAACTTTTACCACTTGCTTCCAGCTTTAAGTCTACTGAGTAGACATTTACCTGAAGGAACTGAATCAAGAATTCCAGTCTGGACTTGCTGGACCATAGTGACAGTAGTGCTTACTTTGCAGTGATGCATTCCTATCACTGCTCTAAAACTCAAGGGAAGGGGCAAGCAATCAAGCATTTATGGACGATTCCTTTGTGCCTAGCATTATGCTAAAGGTAATGGTGACACATATAAAGGGTTAGTTGCTAGAAACTTGTGGAAGGTGCATGCATTTACTTTACAAATAATACACAAATACATTATCAAGTTCTGAAGTAGTGAAAAAGCATAAAGTAAAGGCTTAACAGTGGGGCATAGATAGTCTGAGCAAATAATAATAACAATAATAATAATAACAATAATAATAATAATTAGAGATGGAAGATGTCAGTTTGAGGCTTCATAGAGCCAATGGAACTTGAGTTGAGCAGATGTAAGATATGAGACATTCCATTGAGAGGCCACAGGTTGAACAAAGGCAAAAAAAAAAAAATAAATGGCACAAAGATGACAATGAACAAATAATATGAGATCTTGCTCTTAAACATGTAATGCTATTTTATAGCTTACATTTTTAATTTTGGCCATAGAATTTTACATATGTTGGGAAAATTGTAGCAGTTTTTCAAATTCTTATTAAGGAAGGTAGTTCTGAAAATAAATGTATCTTAAATAGTTGTAATTTTCATTATTGTTTCCTCAAGGGTATGGATTATGGTGTTTCCTGGTAATTTTCCTGAGTTCAAAATGTGAAGCATAAAGGTTTTATGAAATATTAATTCTGGAAAAAAATGTCTTCCTGCTAGTAATGATCCAAAAATTGTAAAGTGTTAATTTGAGCAAGTTCTTACCATAAATTAAAAATGCTCAAATTTGCTTGGATGTTATGTACTGATGTTTCATGAACTTCATCTTATTACACTTGTAAAATCTTCACTATAAAACTATAGAGCTAATTTTGCAGTCTAGCAGTCATGCCTAATTCTTTAAATGTTTTTTGGAATTTCTGTTGTCATTAACTCTTCAATGTGGGAAACAGGATTTATAACTACTATCTAAACAAGTATTCTCTATTTTGGGGTAATAATAATAATGTGTTAACAAGTGCATATATTCAAACCAGTGTAGAATGATATGTCCAATAAATTCACATATTTGTTTAATATCTTTAGTTTTTATTATCAACTCCACTTGCTTATTTAACTTATCTACTTTAGGATGCTAATTGACAAGATATTACATCATTATAGAATAGATGTACGTCATCAAATTTTACATTTGTATATGAACATTCTTTATGATTTTTAGAAAATTTAGATATTTAGATTATAGATAAATGTATTCTCAATAATAAGACAGCAGCAAAATGTATCATAGAAGATACAATATTTCTAAAACTCTGAAGAATTTGTAAAACACTAGCTTACATGAAGTAATTCCCATGTTATATAAGTTTAAATATTGTAAAATCTACAGCTATTAACTGACACTGGAAAGTTCTAGGAGGAAATGGTTGGGTGCTGTATCTCGGTTTCCACTAATATGAAACATTATAGATATACAAATCTTACTAGACTATAGATTCTTTTACAACACAGCCAGGTATTACTCACTTTCTTATCCCTAGTACCTATATAGATAGTGTTAATGTGTTCACAATTCTTTTATTCCCCATCTCTGCTACGGCTGAATGTGGGTGGAGTAAACAATAGTAGACCCAATAATAGTACAGGTCCCGCAGATACCAGTCCATAGGCACAAAGCACCTTGCCTGCTGTCATGTCTCAGTTCTGGGGTTTCTGGGGACAAGTGTCCCATGAGCTGAGCTCTAGCATATGATGGTGGTGGTGAACTATCTAGATACTGGTTTCTAGAGGTTTTCTGAGTAGTGGGTTTTCAGAGTAGCCATGGATAGAGGAGAAATTGGGTAGACCAGCAGCCTTCCCTATCTCTAGAGCCTCTAGGTAGTAATTCAAGGAAGCTCAGAGATACAAAGAGGCAACATTAGGACATGGCTTATGAAGCCAGCAGATTCAAGCACTACCAAAAGATTCTATAAGCATGACTTGGTGCATGAGTGTGTTGTGAGCCAAGGTCCTGTCCCGTGTCCAAGCTGGGCAGAGGATAAAATCAAGAGTGCGATTAAACCCATATCCAGCAGTAGAAAGTGAACAGGAAAACATCAACACAAGGTTGGTTGACAAGTACTACTTCAAGGAATGTAAAGGGTAGGAAATAAACTTGAAGCATGGGGAAAATGTCAGTCCTGAAACTGCTCAGGGGAACAGTTGTTCCAAAGTAGAGTAACAAGAAAGGGATATTTATCCTTGAATAGGTGCTCTTGGATCTGCCTGCAATTTTTAGGTAGTTTTGGTGTGGACGGAATATAGCCTTTGGGTGTGACCTGTGTCCATTTATCTTTCATTTATAGATGATTATTTGTGTGTTATTTGTCCTGCACTTATAAGGTAGGGCATAAGGAAACCTATTTACTACTAGTCCATGGTTACATTTAGTTTAACCGAACTAAATGTTTAATAAACATTTCATATTTGTTCTTCCTTCACTGTATGCCTAATTTAGTACATTTAGTTAATTTTCTCAAAACTAATCAGAAACTAGCTCATTTATATTAGCCCTTAATTACCATTTTGGAGAGAACTATTTTTATATACAAGTTGGTTTTTCCCCACTAAAATGCATGTGCCTTCTCTATTCTTCTCTATCCCTCACCTTGACAATAACACATTGAGTGTCATTTAGTAGACACTTAAACAAATAAATAATTTCAATTGGTTCTTTGATCCTAAGTTCATAGATAATGAAAGCCACTGAAAGTCGATGCTTTCTGTGAATAATGATTTTTTTCCTGTGAATAATTTTTTCTGTGAATAATGATTTTACAGAGTTGGAGTTGGCATCTACTTAAGTATTTCTTCCTCTTTGTGAAAGAAGAAATATTAAATATTGGGAAAACTTGCAGGCTTAGAATTAAAAAACACTTAATAGTGATATGAGTATTCATGAACATCCATAGCTTAAAAAAGTATTTTAGTGTGTCACTTATTCATAGCTTAATAAAATCTGTGTTTCTCTTTTCTTTTTTCTTTTTTTTTTTCACTTTATTTATTTGAGAGAGAGAGAGAGAGAGAGAGAGGGAGGGAGGGAGAGAGAGCGTGCAAGTTAGGGAGAGGCACCAAGGTGGGGAGAGAGAGAGAATCCTAAGCAGACTCTGTACTTGGCATGGAGCCTGATTATAGGCTCGATCCCACGACCCTGGGATCATGATCTGAGCAGAAACCAAGGGTCAGATGCTCAACCAACTGACCCACCTAAGTGCCCCTTTCCTTTCCTTTCCTTTCCTTTTCTTTTCTTTTCTTTTCTTTCCTTTTCAGTTTGTCTTTTTTTTTTTTTTTTTTTTGGAGAGAGAGAGAGAGCATACTTGCTGGGAACAGGGGTGGTGGCAGTGGGGGGAGACAATGAGGGAGACAGAGAGAGAGAGACAGAGAGAGAATCCCAAGCAGTCTCCACACTCAGCATGGACCCCAATGTGAGGCTCCATCCACAAGCTGAGATCATGACCTGAGCTGAAATCAAGAGTTAACTGACTGAGCCACCCAGGCACTCTAATATCTGTGTTTTTCTATAACTCAATTTATTTTGTGCTTGAAGGACCTTATTTTAAATCTGTATTCTATAAGCCCACGAGGAAATTTGTGTGTTTTGTCTGGCTTCACAAGGTGGCATACCCTTTAAGCTATAGCATTAAATTAAAAAAAAATCTCAAAAAACATATTTGCATAACATGCGATAATAACCACTTTATTGAAAGTAAAGAACAATACTTTTAAAATTATTATAGTGTCCAGTCAACCCCATACATTCTCTAGTATAGGAAAATGTGTTCTATTTTTGAAAATGCTACTTATATTTCTCATTTTCATTCAGAAAAATAAAAAACAATTTAATTACAAAGGACTCGATTTTATATATTTGGAAAATATATATAAATGTGGATTGCTAGGGGCGCTTGGGTGGCTCAGTTGGTTGAGCATCTGACTTCGGCTCAGGTCATGATCTTGTGGTTTGTGAGTTTGAGCCCCGAATATCAAAGTGCCAGATATTTTATAAATGTTTTTATTATATCAGAAAAATTCTTATTGGGGTGCCTGGGTGGCTCAGTCAGTTAAGCATCCAACTTCGGCCCAGGTCATGATCTCACAGTTTGTGAGTTCTAGCCCCGTGTCAGACTCTGTGCTGACAGCTCAGAGCCTGGAGCCTGCTTCAGATTCTGTGTCTCCCTCTCTCTCTACCCCTCCCCCACTCATGCTCGCTCGCGCGCTCTCTCTCTCTCTCAAAAATAAATAAACATTAAAAAAATAAAAAATAAATAAATATAGAATGCTTGCCAATGGGGACAGTGTGTAATAAAGTGGGTTTTGAAAACTGACGCTCAAAACATAATCAGAAAGTCACAGAGTGTGTAATGGCAAAGGGATGTTTGGCAGGTATAAATAGGGCAGGCAGTTCTTTCTTTTTCACCACTTTTTTTTTTAATGTTTATTCATTTTTGAGAGTCAGAGAAAACAGAGCATGAGCTGGATAGGGGCAGAGAGAGAGGGAGACAGAATCCAAAGCAGGCTCCAGGCTCTGATCTTCCAGTACAGAACCTGATGCGGGGCTCGAACTCACTGACCACAAGATCAGGACCTGAGCCGAAGTCAGATGCTTAACCGACGGAGCCACCCAGGCGCCCCATTTTCACCACTTTTCTAAAGGTCTCTACTGAACTACAGAAAGCTATGTGGGAGTGGGGACACGGTGGTGAGGAAAAATGTGGGAGAAATTTTCTCTCCACTCCTCCAAAATCTTTACTATGGCTCTAGTCATCTATGGAAACAATAAGAAATAGAGAGCTAATAAAGCTTTCACTGATTAACCAGGCCAGCATTATTTGAATGTACAGCAGCCCCATTTCTTATCTAATAAGCATTAAACTCAAATAAGTAAAAACATATTTCTTCTCTCCCTAGTGCTATTATAAGCTTCTTGAGACAACCTGGCTCTTCCTGTTTTGTCCTCCTAACACCTGATATCATATTCTGTCCAGAGAGAAACCTCCATAAACGTTTTCTGCTGAGTTTACTGATCTAATTCTTCCAGAATGCATGACCCTTGACCTTTATTTAACTAGCCTTGCACCTCAATCTCTCCAATCATACCCTGAGGATAATAATTCCACCTCCAGTTAGTATTCAAGCTCATGGGTACAAAATACCTGGCAGAGAGCAGAATTCCATAACTGATGAACCGTCCATCTTCAGCATACAATTTCCTGATTATTTCATTCTTTCCCACTGCTGATCTGTTGTACTCCATAATGTGGCACTCATATGGACATTATAAATGCACATATATTTGCATACTTACATTAATCGCATGCCACATTGCTAACATACCAGCTTCACATTGTTTTATCAAATCATTA